ATTGATTTCTACAGGATATGTGAAGACTGGAGAACAATTCGGGGATATCTTCACGAAAGCTTTAAATGGGGTTCGGGTTGATTATCTTTGTAACAAGTTGGGCATGATTAATATCTATGCTCCAACTTGAGGGGGAGTGTTATAGATTGTAACTAGTTGTTAATTACCTTATTCTAGGATCCTAATTTATACACTTTCCTAAGATAGAATCCTAGATTTTGTATATATAAATATGTATCACCGTTTCCAATAATGTAATGTGAAAACATTCTTCACAATATTATTTCACATTCTTGCAATCTCTTCTCGGTAGATTTTAATCACAGCTCTGATACCAATTGTTGAGACTTAATGGCTTCATTTATATCCACAAGTTAATGCAGAATCAATGGAAGCACATTTGCACCAGCAGAGGAAGCAAACATCTATGAAAACCAGCTGTAAATGGATTCAACTCAACAAGAAAAATCACCAGCAGAACAGAGAAACGAGCTGAACATAAACCAGTAGAAATTGAGGTAAGAAAACAACAGAAAAATAGACCATCAAGAAGAACACTGAAGAATAGAGATCATATTTGGAACAGGAAGACTAACTTCCTCAGTCTTTATTCATCAAAAGACTTAACATGATTTTCTATCAGAAATCATCAAGACTTTACATGATTTTCTTAACTAGAAATCATCAAAAAGATTTTATAGATTTACAGGAGTTTTACCACTCCATCTTATCTCAATTTCTATTTCTCACGAGCTGCTCCACAGGTCCCTTTCCAGAGCTCCCTTTCTCCAATCTTGAGCCCTCCCTTTCTTTAGACCTTATGCAGGTATTTATAGACACAAAAAAGGCATCAAAAACAGTTATTAACTAACAACTAACAAGGCTTCGGTTGGTTGAAGATTCCAACTGAATTCAATTGATCAAACCATCAACTAACAGCTCCTTCTTGCAACCAATTTTATCTTGTGGCTGAGGTATTAAGAAACTGAATCCAAGGAATCATCTCTTACACAATGTTTTGTGAGGAGAAGAAGACATTGCCTGAATGTAGGAAGGATGACAATTATTACTTTGAGAGAAGACAAGGTTATGTGTATGGTGGTTACAAACCTAATGGAAACTACAACATGAGCATCTTCGACTGTCAGGACAAGTGCGAGCAGAATTGCTCGTGCACTGCTTTTTCCTCAATCACTCAAGATGGAACTGGTTGTCAAATTTGGAGTCAAGTAAGCTATATCCCATCAGATTCTACAATGAGCCGGGAATTTTGCTTACTATATAAAAGCAAAGGTTCGGTAATAACTCCATTCTTTTTCATTCTCTCTTAGAACTAATCTGCAGTACAACTTAAAATGCACTAATCATATATGGTCGTGCTTTATGCTTTTTTGTTTCAGTTTATGTTCTTTCTTTCTATTTGGAGGGAAGAGGTTGAGTGAGGTGTTGGTTCCCTCTAGTAAAATTAATAATACAGCCAAACATTAATAAATGTATAGTGACCGTAGATACTGTTCTTGGCTTTTGTCTTTAGCTTGTTGGCTGTGCATGTAAAGACTCTTCTTTCTTTAATAAGATTAATTTACTTCTTCAAACAAAATATAGAAGCATCATTCAAACATGATAACTAGAGGAGAATGCAATGTCCCAATGTTTCCCAGGGTCAGGACATAGAATGGCCAACGAGTGCAAACACCAAAAATGGGAGCTTGACTGCAAGATCTACCCATCCAGCAATAAAATATTAACATTCTTCCTTGACGCAGATACACATACACACAAGTGGTGGGTATGGCCTATAACTGCTTTAAGTGGGACAATATTACTGGCATTCATCCTATTCAAGAAACTTCGGACCAAAATGTAAGCCCAAAGTTAAAAACTGGGTTCTATTCATGTTTACAAGACTTATCTTTCCGAATCTTCATTTTAGTGTCGTAAACTTCACAGCCAAAAAACAGAGGCCACTTCAAGAGCTTGAAGACGCTATTACACTTTCAGAAAAAACCAACAAAAACAGCGATAAAATAGACAAGAAGATGAGGAAAGTTCACTTTCACAGCTTCGAGAGCATTGCCATGGCCTACGAACAATTTCTCCACAGAGTACAGGCTTTGGACCTTAAGTTATATTTTAACTTATATTTCTGTATTTTTGTACAAAACTTTTATTCGAGAAACGTAGTTCAAGATAGAGTTGATAGACGGGAATTCTTCATTTTTGATCAACAACATAGATAGTCAAGTTAGAGAAAAAAATTTAATTTTTCTTTTCTTTGATGAAACTCAGCCTGAACCGAGATTATTTTTACTTCTAGTTTTCAAGTTCTTTAAATTCTCGATCTTTGATTTGGAATTAATATTTAACTTTTATTTTTTTCCTTAAATTCTTTGATAAAATTAATTTAAAACAAAAAAATATTCAAATCTATACTGATCATACCCACAGTATTGTTCATTGTACTACGAAGTGTATACCGAACATACCCTCGATGCTCTCTAATTTTATGATTTGGTAAATGTTACTTAATTCTCATGCTCTTGTACAGGACCTCGCCAAACTTCTGGTACATGTGCTTCTTCAAGTACATTTTCTCTACTTCCTCTCTACCTTTTGTTCCCATTGCCTGCCTCACAGATACGTTCTCGACCAGAAATCGAAGATGTTTGGCAAGAACTTGAGCACCCTGTCGCCCCAAAGGATGGAGTAGGCCACTGACATTGTGTTCGACAATCTCTTTTGTGCCTCCAGAATCTGTTCCCAGAACCTGCACCACAGTAATATGTAAAACCAGGAGGATGTAAAGACCAGTTTGCTCTTTTCGGAACTTCAAGTATAATCCCAATTATAAGAGCAATATTAAATAAAACAAAATCAGAAACACACAAATCCATTATGGTTTTGCCTTAATGTGAGACCTATATCCACTGGCCGCTACATCAAAAGGAATTATAGAAGTTAACTCACGCCTCTCCATCCGTCTCTTAAAAAAAAATAAAAAAATCCAGCTAAATGATCTTTCGTATATGTATGAATATTACGTGGATCCACGGTCAAGAAGATAACTGTACATTATGATTAGGTTCTACACAGTCACTGCCTAAGTGATAGAACTAGGACTCGAATCCAGTAGGGGCCTAATTTAATTGCGGAATATTTTTCCAAACACAAAATATTATAATAATTTAAAAAAAATAGTCATAGAAAAGAATATTCTCAAATTTTAGTGAGGGCCAAGGACCCACCTCCGCAGCCACTGCACAGTCTTCAACACTATTCTCAAAAACCACAAAAAAGTAGATATATAACAGTATCAGAAAGGCAACCTCTGTTGGAAGAAACCACTAAATCATAATTATGCAGCAATAGGCTTGAAACATTTAACTGCAAGGATAACTCCATCAATATACGCAATAATCATATCCTATCCTATCCAGCAATGTCAAAAACATAGAGCTAGGTTCTGAAAGGTGAAGGATCACTCAGGAAATGGAAGTGCAGGATATCCTCCAATTTCTTTATGACAGGTTTGGTAGGCCAGTATTAAGGAAGAAAATAAGCTAAAATCTTTGTTCATTATTCCATCCAATCTTATCCACTATTGCTTATCAAACATGCACTTACTGTATATGGAAATAAAACCGTTGAGTTTTACTGCGAGCTTGACCTTGTGATTTAATTTTGGGTTGGGATTTAGGATTGCAATCTGATGCTAGAACTAACATGAACTGATAAGAAGCTAATTTACGTGAATATGCAAAGTTTATGCTCTTAGATATGGCTGTTGGATATGAAAAACAAACCAATGACCATCATCATTTCATGAGATGCATCAAAATGAGCAGAATTGAGTGCCATACCGGAAGTCCAAATGCCATTGCTTCAATTGTTACTCTTCCAAATGTTTCTCCAAGTCCCTGCAAATAATGTACAAATAGCCAATGTAGCAAGTCATAAAGAAAGCAAAGTTATCAGACCAAAGAGTGAGCATTTCGCAACAATAAACAAATGACTATGATATAAATCCTATACAGATAAACAGCATTACAAGATCATTACAAAGCATCAAGAAAATAAAATAACTTGAATTTTTGAATAGATGTATTATATTTATCTTAAATGAAATAAGACAAACTATGACGTGTATCAAGATATCACTCATTTCTGCATTCAGATAGTCTCCCTCAGTTCATCAAGTGATATGTTTTCAATGCCTTCCTGTCATTTGTTTATTGCAACTCGCAACATCTCGTAATGATGACGAGAAATTCAAATGATGCATGAACTGTTCACTAATTTGATCAAATAGACACATTGCACAATGGAGTGGCTGTAACATTACAAAGGAAGAAAACATTACTGATTTTCATATTCTCCTGGCTGCATTACAGGTGAAACATTTGTCAAAAAAGAAGATAGAAAAAGTTGGTCAACGGATGACTTAATCACTTAATAGAGAAATGAGAGCAGCATGTGAAGAATCAGTTACATATCTTGTCAAGCTGGTGTCCATTTAAGGCTGTTCTCAACTTTCTTTAAATCCTACCTTCCTTTTACCACACAGTTTCCAGAAATACATGGAAATTTCTTTTATGCCTACAAATGTAATATCTTCTTCTTGAGCAGATCCCCTACTATTCCAGCTTTTCCCCATAGATTAAAGGAATGACTTTTGATTCACATTTTGCTCACTGGATCATAAGGCATTTATGAAAGGACTTCACCAACTAAACCACCTGATGAAAGATCCAATTTACATCAAATCCTTCGCAACCACATCAGCCCATGTTACTTCTTGTCTACCTCTCCCAACTTTTGACCAGTTCCATTCTGATTGCATAACCGTGCTCTTACGAAGTAAAATTCAGTATGACATCTACTTTTCAATTAATCCACTTTATTTCTGATGCATAAATTACTTTTATATATCGTTATTTCCTGACAGTTACCGTCAAGGCATTGCCACCTTAAAGTAAATTAATCAAAAAAGCAGTTATCTCCAGAAATTAAATGTTTAAATCAGAGATCCATGAAAGAGCTAATTTGGAATGTCTTTTTAGCAGTTTAATATTTGAAGGACCGGAATCGAAACGTTACATATGTCCACTTACGTGATCGTTGAGTTCCTCCCACGAAGTCACAATAATTTTGTAATTTAATTGCCTTCCTTCATGTTGCAAAATGCAACTAAGTGGACAGAGTAGGAAAGAAGAAAAAAAGAAAGATAAGCTGGTCACATTATAAATACCACAAATGCTAATTATTTGTCTTATTTGATTAGCATTTTTCTAAAAACAAGATTAAATACTAACGTAGATAAGATATCAACAGTGGTTTGTAATCTTTTCCCAGAAAGAAGATGGTGAAATAAAATGTAGGGGAACAAAAAAGGAGAGGGCATTGCACACATAATAAATACGGGATTATGAGCCGATTCCTACATCAGAAAAGTCTCTTAACAATTATCAAAATAATAGTATATATTCAAGTAATTTACAAATGAACAGAGAGAGATGCTACATGTACAACACTTGGATTACAACAGTGGATGACAACCTCTCACAAGGGGGCCCGCCCTTGTGAGAGGTTGTAAATAATCGTGGGCCCCACCCCCACTTGTGAGAGATTGTCATCCATTGTTGTAACCCAAAGTTGTACAAGCAGAATTATACATGAAGAGATTATGTTATTTTGCTTGAAAATTTAGAGGAGAAAATGAGACATTATCATACCAAACTAAAGTTATCGCTCAAGCTACACAAGTTTCCAAAACATGAATAAGCCTATACATTAATCTCACACATTGAAAACTAAAATAAATACCTGGGAATTCATAACATAAACATCTGCAGCGGCATACAGAGAGGCAACACGAGTAGTTGCTGGAGTCCACAATACCGATTTTGACAAGTTCAAATGAAGAGATAGATGTCTAAGAAGTGCTTTGACATAAACCACCTTATTGCTTTTTGATCCTACCGAACCTATGAGAACCTTAAGCTTCTGTTCCTGCAGTTCAATGCTCTCAGACGACAGTTTTTTCATGCTTGCAATTGGGTCAACTGTCACCATATTAGGAATACCCCTCTTGGTGAAGAGACGGGGAAACTTTTTGTATTTCCTTGTAGTTTTACCAAAATCCATGGAAGTTCCATTGGAGATAGAGTTATTGGAGGATTCAACAATTCTTTTCCAATTTTGAAGCAATGCCCTTGAATAATAATCACTGCCTCTTTCTGACAAATCTCCAATTTCTGAATCATGTAGCTTTCCTTGTCCATTTATCAAACGTACTGATTCCAGAAGCAAAAATTGACCCTTTCCAGGATTTATACTGCTTAAGGACATCACAAGCATATCGTTATCAGTCAATCCCATTTCTTTTCTAACTGAAGTTCTCAATAACTGTCTCTTTTCCAGCATCTTCTCTGTACTGAATGATGGAGTATTTAGTGAGCAAGAAATGCCTGCTACAAAAGCCAGCTCATCGCTGACAGAAAGTGGAACCAGAGCAGGCTCGGATTTCAATTTGACGTTTTCTTCCTTGCACCAGGCTAGCCACTGTTTAGACTGTGATTCGGAAAGAAAAATCAGCCTTTTCACCCTGTTGAGGACAGGCTTTGACCGAACAAAATACTCTCTTCGGTTTTCCATTATCCACCATAGGATTTGACTAGAACCAAGCACAGTGCGTGATAGGTATTGTTCTGTAACCACGACCTAATTATTATCTATAGCACTACAAGAAACAGAAATGAAAGTATTCTGATTTTTTCACAGAATTGATTAATTTAGAATAAAACTTACAATACGAACTCCAATCAAGTATAGAGACCAACAGAGTTGATACAGTTGCACATTATATATTTATTATTGTCATTTTTTATTGCCGAGTCAGAATGTAAGACACACAACTAAAATGTATTTTCTCTTGACAAATCCAAGCCAGATCCTAACATATGACATTATAGACTAGACAGGAATTTTTCGGGAATGAAGAGTTTCAAGAACTTTAATGATCAGACTGGAGCTTTTGAATTTATTACCCTAGACCTAAAGCAACAAAGATTCTACTTTCCACAGAAAACGTAGCACGTTTTTCCCATTTCTTACCTCAAGAAGTCCATCAGAAGGAAAACAACGGACACAACAGATAAAGAAGAATAGCAGTTTGACTTCATGATACAATTCACAAGAGAACAAAATAATAAGGGGAAAACATTAATAGTATTTCACATGCCACATGTGCATAACCAAATTGAATTCTAATGTTTGTTTATTATATGGTAATAATCAAATATGACTTATCAAAGGAATTGTAATAAGTATTTACAGCATGTAAATGATTGATAACAAAACAGATAATTTTATCCAAGTTTCACAGAACATCATTGAGAAGCACTCACCAATCCAGGATGAACAGACTGCTGACCCTGCAATAATAAGATCTGCTTTCATCGCAGTTTTGAAGCTGAGGTCTGTTTTGTCCTCAAGCACTTTGATTTTTCTTCGAGCAAGTTCCGGCATTAAACCGCCCTTTTTGTTAAGGACTATAACAGAGATGGTGGCCCCGCAACTCAAAAACTCTGTTGCCAACTCCATCATCGCCAGTGGGGCCCCAGTCATGGAGAGCTCATGGAATATCAAAACAAACTTTCTAGACCAAACAAGACGTGCGAATGCACCCTTCCTGTCACAGGTTCCTGACCTTTTCTCAGGACTCCACTCCAAAATCCTATCCTCTATGGAACCAAATGGGCCAACCAAAAGCCCATAAGTTGTATTTTGCTTTGGAATTTCCTCTTCCTGCACATCAACGCCACTGTCTACAACTTCCGCCACCACCTTCGGCTTACTGTGGGTCTTCCTACGCGAACTACGTCGCGATTTCTTGCCTTTCTTCTTTGATGATACACTACTAATTGATGAATCACTGTTATCCTTCTTTGTCAAAACCACATCCAGATTCTTCAAATTAGACTGATCTGTATCATTTCGTAATTTACCTGCCCAAGAAACCTCATTCGCAATCAAGTCCCTTCGATTTTTCTGATGTGCCTCTGAATTCCCATCACTTGATTCACCCCCATAACCACCACTAAAAAGCCCTTCTTTATTATCCCCATGGGCCCACCTCGACTGGACATAGAATCCACCATAAGTCCAGAGAGTGATCAAAAGCAACCATAGCACAATGCGCTTACTTCTGAACCGCTGAGGACTCACCCCACCATTATTTCCGTCTTTTCTTGGGGTTCTGCTGGAGTTCAATCTCTTAAATGAAGGGGAACCCGAACCCCTCGGTGTTGATCTCCCTGACAATGTGGACTTCAAGGCTCCGCCACCTGGCCTCAACGATGACTGTCTCAAAACATTGCCTTCCTCCATCACTCAAATTATCAACTACTCCTATATAACCAGATATCGCTAGAATCGTTCCCCAAATTTCATTATAATATTTTCTTCCAACTTTCTTGAATTTCAATTCCGTGAAAAGCAATGAAAAGTGAAATAGTTTCACATTCGTGACCACGGAATAGAAGTATGAGGCATTACTCCTCTGCTATTACAATTCTGCCAAGAAAATGGAAAACTAAAACAGTTACAAATCGAGCTCTGGTAATTCTTGATGCCGATTTTTTTATTTTCATATTTTATTAATAAAATATAAACTAAAGCATTAATGAGCTTTATATCTTGAACAATTAAGCTTGTACAACAACAGAAAAATATGCTAGTAGTAAAATATTTCGCTAATAATGACAAAAACAATCAACAAGTTGAAAAACAGTAAGCTATACAGAGAGAGAGAAATAATGATTTCGATTAAATCTATGAATTAAAGAATCAAGTGATTTCAATCTAGAAAAACAGTACTGAGGAACTTATTGTTGAGGATCTTGAATGTAAATACGAATGTGCCGACAAAATCATAGTTGATTTTGAAGATCACTATTCTATAATTTCTTGTTCTTCAGCTAAAGAACTTGTAGAGAGAGAAAGAATGGCAGAGAGCTTCCGTAAGCTAGCTGAGGAATTGAGTGTAAATTGAAGTTGCAGCAACAGAGAGATAGACATAGAGAGAAAATACTGTTTTAGAGAGAGAGAGAGGGAGAAGGGAGCTCTGTAACTGAAGAGAAGAAATGGATCGCACGTGCGAACGTACTCGTGTTAGATCTAGGAGAGGGAAGAACATTTTTACATTTTGAAAGCGTAAGTTCAGTTAAATCCATACCCAACTTTATAATGGTATCATTATGACCATTCAATTTTATTTTATTTCATTATGATTAACCAACTTTATACTTAGTGTCATCATGGTTACTCAACTTTATATTTAGTGTCACTATAGCCACCTAATTTGATTTTATTTCACTATGATCATCCAATTTCATATAACATTTTACCATGGTCAATCAACTTCTTTTCACCATTTTCATTAATTTTAGAAGGGGTAAAACGGTAACTTTGCATTATATATATA